CAGGCATAAGGGCTTTATGATTTTCATATTGTGTATGTACGTATGTCTGGCCCCAGAAATCACACTTTTTTCAAGCTTGGTGATATTTGCAGTAGTAGATTCCTGTTCTAAAGTCTAACGGTGGCAGTCCTGCAAGGGCTTGAAATGCTGCTGTTGAACATTCAGGGGCTCTCAACCAGTGGTACACAAGAGAAAAGTAGGTGTATGCAAAGAAGAAAAGTATTTAACTATTAAATTCAAAAATTAAAACCCGAACATCCCGATTGAGTTTTTTTCCTAACGCTCGTAAATTTATGCGATGATATGATTTTGTTCAAGAGTGGTGGTGGTAGTAGTACTTTGTAGTAGTCGGCTAAAGGTTTTCAATTTTTGTTTAGATGGTACACTTAGTCAAAAGGTTGAGAACCGCTGCATTATGTGATACCCTATGCAGATGGTGAATAGAGTACTTTTTGTTTTAGATAGAGAACATTTGAAAACTATAAAGCCCGCATTTTAGCCTAGGTGTTTTAATTGCGATTTCCGTCATTGTATATTTCATTTCATTATTTAAAGGTATTTCATTTGCGAGACAGAATAGAAGATTTTGTCTTGGAGTTTTATGCTGGGAATGTATCTTAAGATACCCTCGCATATAATTATAAGGACCTGAGTTTTAGTTGCTAAGATTGAGAGCTTATGCTTTGTTGCCCAAATTATAAAGCTATCCAGACATTTTAAAGGGTGGCTGACAAAGCGCCATCTTTTTATTCAGTGCCATATGCCATAAAATCATTGCTTCGAAAGGATAGTTAAATGACCAATAATTAAATAATTATGGAATTTTTATTTATTTCTCCTTTTCTAGCATAGGATTCATATTCTTTAATGCAAACTGTTAAGACTATCTTAACATATTAAACTGCTTTCCAAAGGAATGCTATAAAATTCCTCGTGAGAAAAAATATAAAATAGAACATGTAGCACTGAATGAATTTCACTAAAGGAGGGAATAAGTTAACGACTGTTCTTAGGAGAAAAAACCAAAAAACTAACTAGCGGAAGGCTTAACTAAGATAATAGCAAGATTACTGTAAATGTTTCTAATAGAACTTTACTGTAAACGTTTCTAATAGGAAAACTTTATTTAAGTTTTTCTGGTTTAAAGGTTTTAAATTTTTTTAATAAGGACCAAAACCATTATGAATATCAAATAATTACTATTAATAAAAGCATTATTAGAAAAACCCCGGGAAATGTGAGATTCGTGAATGGATTCACATTACTGAGCGAGTGAACGGCGATTCGTCATCGATTTCCATTTTAGGGAATAAAGGAATGTTTATCCTCCCATGGTTAAAAGTGAGTTTAATTTTTATCATTTCTCAACTATTTAATTTTTTTTTTTTAAATTCTAGAATTTATTTTTCGTTTTCTAAAAAAGAAGTTAGATTGAGATGTTTCTTCTGATCTCACTCTTCATTCGAATCTTTCCTCTCTTGGGTCCAACTTAGCACACCATTCCTTGATTCACTCCCCATTCTCTTTATTATTCATGAAGGTTATTAGTGAGCATTGAGTGAAAAAATGAATCGATTCAGTTCAGTGAGAGAATGGTTCTGATATGATCACACAAAAAGGTGCTTTTGCCTACTTTGAGTTTACCACTCAAAGGCCTGTTGATGTCATCTAGGAACAAGTCCAGTAATTAAAATTAAAATGTATAAATACTGTGTTTAAAACTTTTTTTTTTTTTTTTTGCTTGTTCTAAGTTCACTCTGAATGTAATTTTAAGTTCTTTTTATGTTAAAAAAATCTCCATTTTCCACCATAAATAAAATTTAATCATAAACATTTGCACATTTTCATTTCACTTCTAATGAATGAATTACATAAATATTTTAGCAAACTAGGCTACTTAGCTTTTCTTAGTTAAATATATGTATTCCAAGTTGCAATATATAAATACATAATTAAAGTGTTACTCTTAAATGAAAACATTCGTTTTTATTACTGAATAAAAATAATTAATATTAAAAGCAGAATGTTAATAGAAATAGTAAGTAATTTAAATGTTTCACACTCATTTTTTTAATGTGGTTATCTAGGTTTTGCACAGCATTTTAATTTCATTGTAAATAGAGATGAATCATATTTCTCTCCTTCAGGCAAAATGAGACGAAAGTTTTTAACAACAGTTGTCAAGAAAAGGAAAGTTTCCATCATTGAGAATGCTTCTCCCATACATGCTCGTTTACCTGAGTAAAGAGTTACACAGTTTATTAATATAAAAAGTCAAAGCAGGTTTATGTGCAATGGAAAAAAATTCAATTAGAACTTTCATTTAATTTCATATGCACATAGTTAAAGTAAACACTTGATCCTTGGAGCTGATGCATTGTTTTATGAGATCTTTAAATATGATTTCATAATTATTTGCCGTGTCTTTGATTTCCCAATTTAGGCAAATTTCTCAGTTAATTTTCTCCCGCCTTCCACTACACCTTCGTGGTGTAATTAAACGCATACTGGGCGCTTTTTCGGGGGGGGTTCCAGGTTCGAGTCCTGTCGAAAGCATTGCTCACTTTTCATTTCTTTCAGCATAAAAAAAAAAAAAAAAAAAAAAAAAAAAAAGAGTGATGAAAATACTGAAGAATTTAACTTTTAATTCAGATATGTGTGATTATCAAAGAAATATTCTATAACTTCTGTAAAGAATATTCTGTGTTTTACAGAATATTCTTTACAGATTATATTGTGTGTTTACCCTGTGTACGAATGCAAAATTTCTGTTTGGAAGACAGAAATTGGGTACTATTTGTACTCAAACAAAAAGAAAAAAAGTCAAGTATAAAAAGTTTGATTCTCTAAAATATGAATCATCTCTGGACATTTATAGGAGTCCGACGCAAAATGCCAAAACGAAAGTAATAGTCATTTGGGACTCAAATTACTTTGGACTAACAAATATTGGCTCTATAGTGGCACCCGAACTAAAAGTGATGAATGATGATTCTTCACCACCAGGATTTGGCAATTGGGTCCCAATATCCCCAGTCGCTTTTTAAAAGGATGAGCATATATGGTATTTTCTCCCGCCTTCCAGCATGCCTTCGTAATGTAATTGGAATCATACTCGGCGGGTATTCGGGGGTCCAGGTTCGAGTTCCAGCGAGGGCATTGCTCATTTTTCTTATCTTCTGGTTCAAAATAACCTAATGATTCTGCAGTATAACGTCAATAAATATTGCCAGGATAGCGTGATCCTATAATTAAAGGTCTATTAGCTTAGAAATGTTTTGAATCTAACTCTTTTTATTGCATGAAGACTCTAATACAGTGCTATAGTGTATGAAAAAAAAATAAAAAAGTAAATAAATAAATAATAAAAAAATAAAAAATCTAAAGTCATTTTTTTAAATACTTAATAAATGTTAAATTAAGATGTGCCCGAAAGCAAATGTGAACCGAAAATTAGTTCAGTTTTGATTTTTTATTGCTGGAGATTGCATTCTAGAAAGTTAAAAGTAATAGAAAGACAGTTTTTTTAGTTTGCATACAATTTATAATAGTTTGCTGCATAAAAGAACAAATTTTTCAAAACTTCATTTTTCAGTTATATAAAGCAGATTCATGAAAAAGATGAAATAATTTAAATTGATAGCAAATAATTAAACATTAAATTAAAGTACAATAATAACAGCAAGTTAAGTAAAAGAAAACGTTTTGGGAACCGGCTGAATTAAAACCCCATATGTGTATAGAAAAGGGAGTCAATCAAAATAAAATTAATACAATTTGTAGAGACATTAGATATTTTTTTGAAAGCAGGAAGGAGGAAAAATTAACAAAGCCTTCGCTGGGAATCGAACTGCGAACCTCTGGAATACCGGCCCAGTGTGCAGACCACCACATCACAAAGGCACGCCAAGAAGGCGGGAGAAATACCTTATAAATTAAAAACATATATCTATGTGTAAGTGTGTTATTACATTTACGTGACAAAGGGAGGTGAAAGGGAATGGTGGCCAGACTGCTACCTTTTAATACTACAAAATTGTAAGGAGCAAGAAGTGCATGTAAATTTTCATCATACACAGAGAATAATTTATAAATTATTTAAGAGTTCAGAAAATTTTGTAAATAATAAATTTAATATGGAGAATTAAAGCCGAACTTTTATTTCAACGAAAGAGATAAAAGTACTGTATTGTATTACGATTTGAAAAACATTTGTGTGCACTATCAGAAACATTGTTTTTATAGTGAATTAAAAACATGGTTTCAAATAATTTAGTTAAACTTTGACTACTTCTCCTTTACATAAATTAACTTTATTCCCACTTGAAATTTTCTATTTAATCATAATAATTGTTATTTTTGTAAAATTTTTTAGGAAGTCACAACTATTTTGGATTTCCTGAAAATGTGTGCTCTTTTAAGTGGGCACTTGTCTTATAGGCTTAACTGGCCACTGGCTATACCAAAGAACGGCTATACCAAATAACTCAAAGGGGGGAGCAGGAGAGCCATTAGAGGTTAGTTTGAGAAATAAATTAAACAGGATTTAAACATTTTTATTATTTACTTTAAAATAACAATATCTGAAACTTTGCTTGAAACTCAAGTTAAAAAAAAAAAACTCTTGCATTTTCCTTAGTCTATTTATTGAATTATTTTTGTCTAAAGACTCAGCTAGAATTTAAAGTATTTCAAAAATTTTTAGTAACTGGAAAATGAAAAGAATGAAACAATTTTAAAGTAATAATTCCCTATTTTATCAGTAAAAATAAGCCTGTTCCTGAATGGGTAGTGACACTCACAAAGTTTTGATGAGCTAATTAAACATGTCTGTTATATGGAAACCAAACCGTAGTTTAAAAGTAAAACAATTGAACTATTGCTAGTAAATTAAATTATTACATATATTAAAAATTACCCAAAAGTAATACTTGTAATACTTCTCATTTTAACGCTCGTATGGTTGAAAATGGATTTCAGCATTCGAATAATTTAAACAGTGATAGTTTCTGAAAACAAGAGGATTTAAGATAAAAGCGTACAGACCATAAGCCCAGCATTGTATGAACAGCAGTCTTGCGTATTAAAAATAAATTTTAATTCAATGAAAAATATTATCTTACTCGATTAACTGTAAACGCTTTTTAGGAAACAGTTCACTGTATTTTGCAGTAATTATTTACATAAAAATACTTCCAGTAAATCAGATTCAAAGAGTACTTAGAAACTAAATTTCACTGAAATTTAGTTTCTAAAAATTCTTATGGCCCAATCGAGAAATCATTAAGAGAAAAAAATTCGGCACTTAATGCATTAAATGCTTCAAAACATAGAATAAAAATGCGAAATTGGAAACAACTGATTTTCGATTTATTCCAAAGAGAAAATTTAGATTGTATATATGAAAATAAATACTTTTCTAAGTAGACCTTTTTAGCCACCATAAGAGAGCACACATCACTCAAGAGTTCACGAATGAACAAATTGTTTCATAATTCAAAATTTCACAAATGACATTAGGAGCATAGGGTAGGGATATTGTTTGATTTCAACTTGTAAAGAAAGGAAAGTAACAAAAGTAATTTTAAAACGGTTCGAGAAAAGACTAACTTTTCTTCAGAAAATTTCGAGTTCAGAAATGTTGATTTTCGAGAAAGATGAACATTAGTTTGTTATTAGTAATGCATCATATTTTTTAATGCAATCTTCTCAAATGCTCAGTAAATTGATTAAGAAAAAATGCACATTACTACAGACATTTCGAAGGTAATTGTCTCTATCATGAAAGTCTCACTTGTGATGAAATGACAAAAACAGCTAAAAACTGATAGATAGACAAAAGTTTTGTTCCCGCCCAACATGCTCATCCTCTTTGAAGGCATTCATCCGCTTAGGAAGGTAGCCTTCTTGCCCTTTCTATATCGATTAACCAATAACAACTGCAAAGTTTGAACATAAATGAATGGAACTTTTTTAACACATTAATGTATAATATTTTGTTGATTGTTGTTTCTCCTGTATGGAAACTATAGTAAAATTTCAATTTAAGTCATCAAATTTATCCTACTTGTATCGCTAACTGCCTTCAAATTAGTTTAATGTATTTAACTATCTTTTTTAGCATAGTAATTCGAAGATAAAGTCCAAGCGCCGCATGCTGGGGGTCTGCAGGCAAATGTGCATTTCACACAAGCCTGTCTCTGCAATGTCAGATTGAGAAATGAAATAAAAACAAGAGAGATAAGAATAAAAATCTTTCTTTAAAATGAAAGAAATTTTCGACAATGGAGATTAATGATTTCTTTCACACAATTCTTGATAAAGGTGTCTAATTTGATTTCAAATAATAGCAATTAATTAAAAGGAATGCTACTTTTAGTCAGCATACCTAAATCCAATAAGCTTCAACTTAACCATTTAGTTCAAAAACTAAAGAGTGTCATAAAATACCCTGTCATAGTTTTACATTTTTTTTCTGTTCTTTGATTAAATACCGCTCCCCACATTTTTTTAAATAATGAAACATAATTATATTTAATCTCAGCCGTATAACGTTAGAAATAGCATGTGAGGAACTTTACAATGAAATTTTTCATTTTCACATGCACATACCAAAATTAAATACAAATAATTAAATAATAAAATACATTTTCAGATTTATCATCGAAACATTATAGCAAATCACTTAATCAGAAAGCAGAAAGTTTGTCTGCAAACTAAAAAAATAAACAAATAAATTAGTGAAAAATGAAGTCATATTTTGAGGGCATTAAAATTCACATCTGAATACACACAGTTATAAATATATTTTATAGTAATAAAAAATATGTGTCCTTTTGATTATGTGGGTCTTTATCAGTGTGGGCTTGTATCAGTGTCGGCCTATATCCATTGGGGTTTATCTGCGGGGGCTCTTATCAATGTGCGCTTTTATCGGTGTCGGTATTTGTCGGGTTGACAATTATCACAGTGGGTATTTTTTTTTTTTTTTCCTGAGCTTTTGTCGTGTACTTTTTCATTAAGTCGGCTTCTGTCAAGGACCCATAAATGCACATTATCTTCTTAATATTAAATTGAAATATGAAAATATATTTATGCGTAAAGTTTGTAGGTATGCATAGTTATATACTTAAACAATGTTGCATACATAATCATCATAATTTTCACGCTCATTCACACACACAGAAAAAAGTAAAGAATCGAAATTTTCATATAATTTTAAATTTAATTATACATTTATAAGTTACGTTCAGAATTACAATAATTCACCATTTTATGTAGCATTTACACGATCAATAAAAATTTCTTGAAATATTGATCTGCTAATTCAGAGACACATGCAGGCAAACAATAAAATGACACTTTTGTAAAATCTAGATTGAAAAATGAAATTATTTTGAAATTTTATAAACAGATAACTTCTTAAAGTTAATAAATATGCAGACAGCTATGCTAATAACTGAATTTTTGTATCCCGTGTAACTATATACGTGTATAACATTGTATACAGAAGCATTTTTCAAACGGATTTACTCAAAACGTGCCGTGCAAAAAAAAATCATCTGGCTCTATGAACGGCAATTCATTTTGACATAACTTTGGTCTTAAAACAAAATTTTATGTGGTGATTGTTTTAAGAGGCTTGTTCTAAAATGTGAGCTTTCAGTATGAAAACATTAAAAAAAAATATTTTGCTGTTTGTTTAATCCTTAAATTCACTTCTTGATATTTACTAAAATTTGCTTCTAAGCATCAAATTTTGTTCTCAAATTAATGCAATTTTAATGGAAATTTCTCTTCTAAAATAATCATTTAGTTATTTCCCATTTATCTTAATATGTGCAGATTAAGAAAAATAAATTAAAAAAATCTGGTGTTACATCACATAACTTCCTTGCACGGAATATTAATTCATACGAATCTTTCTTGCATTTTATTTAAACTTATTAGATTGAATTAAATCTACTTTGTCGATGGCGCATAAACCACAAGAGAATAAATGCACTCTTTAAAATTCACTATATTTGTTTACCATAGCGACACTCTGGCGCTAGGTTCACTTAACAGCGTTACATTTCGTTCATATTATAACTCAGAATACATACTATAAATTTATATGATTTGAAGAATTATCTAATCGTTGTCACATGTTCTATTCAAATACTTTAATCAATCTAAAACGACGTATATAAGAAATTAAGCAAACAACAACACAACAACAACAAAAAAAAAAAAAAAAAAAAAAAAAAGAGAAAGAAAGAAACAGTTTTTCATAGACGATTCAGTATTTCTCATTCGCTTAATTTTGTTCTCACTTCCCGACAAGGCACAAATACATAAAAACTCAAAATATCTATATTAAAAAATTACGAAGTAAATCTTAAACACTTATTTCCTCGAATAAATTCCAGAATGGATTAAACATGATTTAATTCGTAGTAATAAAAGAAAGCATTATCTTTGTTGTTGCGAAGCTTAGTTTCTTTAGATTAGCAACAAATCTGCTATTTTGCGAAGTTTGAAATATGAACAAACATGCCCTTCATCGGAATATTAATTAGGCTCAGCTGCACTTAAACAACTTTTAAATTGTTGATAACTACACAAATCTTGCATGCAGACTTACCAAAAGCATAAAAACCTTAACCGGAAGATAAGAACAACATAATTCAATCATTTTTAAAGCGACAGATGCACAATTTTACAAACATATAAGAATAAAGAAACTGAGATTACTGAGCTGAGTAACATAGTGGATATATATATATACATATACTTATATGTGTTTGGTACGGCCGCTTGCAACCAAAATACCATCTACATGTTATAGCAATCCTATACAAAAACTTTCAACATTCTGAGGCTACTCATTTTTGAGTTATGCGAGATACGTTCGTACGTACAGACACCATGAATTATAATTTTTTTGGGGGAATAGAATCTTTTATTCTGTCCTTACGTACAGATGTCACGCAAAAACATCGTTAAATTGCATTCGAAAGCGGTCAAAATGGATATTTTCTTTGAAATATGATGCCTGAAAATTTTCGCGATTACATTACTTCCTTTTTACTTTGTACAAGGAAGTAAAAATAAAAATGTAAAAAATTTTTAAAAAAATTGAAAGGATTCAAGGTTTAGATTTTAATCCGCAAAAGGGATTCTTTATTAGCCTTATGGTTTATTAGCAGAGGTTATCAATAGAGGTGGCCCAGATGGAATAGCGAAACATTTTATAGGATATTAGATGAATATGCATTTATAGGGTACCATGGGAAAGTTATATATATTCTTTATATTTAAAAGGCGAAAAAGTAAGTAATTTAATTCTGTAAAGTTGTGCAATGTTTTTAATTATATATGTCATGAATTAAATGCATTTTCATTTTAATCAATCAGATTAAAAACTAAAAAGATTATATTCTTAAGAACTGTATCTTTTGCTTTTAAATAGTTTAGTTTGTAATTAATAACATACATATTAAATATGAAAGAATAATATCTTAATTTTTTCGAGTGGCAATAGAATGAAATGAAAAGTGAAAGAACGAAAAATCGTGTTCCGAGACTAATAATCTTTTGAGTTTGGGAAGAAAAATTGCAATTAAAATTAAGATTAATGAGCCGAGATACAAATTTTAAATTGGGTTTCCATAAGTCGGTCATTGACAATTAAAAACAGGCCAAGGTTAATCTAAATTCGAAGTCCACTGCCTAAAATTATTTTTAACGCTAAATTAAAAATTAACCCCAAATTTAAAATGGAAATGAATAAAAAACTACTCGTATGATTTTTGCAAAATTTGATAAAAAATTAGGCAATGAAATCTTTACAGAATTAGAAATTAGAATAATGTATAAGAATTGAAATAGTGAAAATAAAATGATATATAATTTTAAAGAAAGTCCGAGGTATATAAAAAATAGTGTATTAGAACAATATTGTACATAAATTTAATATATAATTTAAGTCACGCTTTTTAGAAATGGTAAACGCAACTTATGTAAAAATAGCGTGTGTTAAAACAATATATTATATAAATGTCATTGTATGTATGATATAAGTAACTATATCTTAAGTCACGCTTTCTAGAAATGAAAAACGCAATTTAAATTTCGCCAATCAGGAAACTAGAAAAAAGACAGAATTGTAACAGCTTTTTTTTTTTCTCTTTGATGAATGTATATTATTTTATTGAATATATAATTTTGTATGTGATAATGAAATATAAATGCATCTGTACGTTGACATCATATAAAATGCAAACTGGCATGCTTGTAATATAAGTTTTAAAGAAACCGCGTATTATTTTGAAATAGATCACTTAATAGATAATATTAATACCTTCATGTTAAGTTATTCCAATATCATCTTTTCTACATAAATCTTGTGATCAAATAATTGACTAATATCTACATAATAGCGGTTGATTTAAATTTTCTTACCTACTCCAAAAACGAGGGGAAGATCTGGTCTTGTTGTCTCTGCTCTGGCGATATATCGATAAGGATCAAATTTATATGGATCTTCATAAACCTTGGGGTCATGTTGCGCTGACCACACGTTCATCACCGTTACTGTTCCTTCAGGGATTCTGTAACCCCTAATGGTAGTTTCTTCTACATATAAAATGTTCAACGTAAGTTATGAACAATTTGAGTGACATATAGCAGTACAACATGATTATTAGGTTTCTAAAAGTAGTTATTAGGTAAAATGATAGTGCATGCGTCATAATCAACACTGAGATTACTATGTTGATAATCTCGCTTATGCTTGAGAACTACAAAAAAATAATACGGTGGGAAAAATTTTCCCGTTAAATTATTCTTGATAAGAAATTTTATCATGCCTTTGAATAAGCTTTTTTTTATTCAGAAACAAGAGTAAAAGTTTAAGATAAAAGTATACAAATATTGGTGAATGAAACAATAAAATTCACTTCATACAAAAATTGTATTGTAACAACATGAGGCTTGGGAAAATAAACCTTTTAAAGTGAGGTTTCAGTAATGACTCCTTCGTTATCTTCAGCATCGTAAAATAAATCTGGGAAGTTTCATCATAGTTTCTAAGGTCCAGACGCAATTGAAAGCTTTTCTGTGGTTTACCCATGGGCTAAAAAAGATTAGCATAAATATGGTTCAGTTAGAGGCATTTTAACAAAGAAAAGCTATGTCTCAAATATAGTAGACCAGTAAGAAGTTGCCCAGACCCTTCAGTAGGGAGTCAGCAGAGCTGGATTAATCATTCAGCAAAATAAGCACATGCTTAAGGTATCAAGGATAGCGGGAAGCACAGAAAAGGTAATTGAAACTCATGGAAAGAGGTCACCACAAAAAATTCTTATTGTTGGATTTATCTTGGAATGTATGGAACAGCTAAACCAAGACCATGCGAGAAAAAATCGAAGAAAAACTGCTATTGTATTGTAAATGTATTATGTGCAGACACCAAACTCGTTTCATGTTTAGAGCTTCTAAAAAGCTTAATATGGCTGTGGGAGTCAGTTTAAGCGTAGTAAACGTAGTGTGAATAGAAATATTTTCCCCCAAACGTTACCAAACAGGCATTCCGGCTAAACCAAAAAGTCTGTAAAGTCCTCGAGAACGAAGGCGCTGGGCAATAGAATACAAGCATTCAACATCGTAGCGAAACGCGAGCAAATGGAATACTTCAAAAACAGAAGCTAAATTTGCGACGACGTTTAAGAGTATCGGAACGGGCATCTGTCATTCGAAGGTATAACGCAGTTAACTGTGTACTGACTTCTGGTAAACCCCAATATATGGAATTCTGTTAACAATTTTGAAGAAGGTAACCTGAAGTTGGCAGGAAAAATTGATTTCTGTCAAATTTAGAAATTTCGTTTTCTTTTAAAAGCATCACAAAACCTCTGAAGTTTAGATTTCGGTTGCCTAAGTTACAATTAAGTATTTATTATGAATTCATTAAACACCTTAATCTACCAGAAAATGCAAATGAAGTGAATTTTAAAAAAGAATCTGAATCTTAAGTTTAGGGAAGAGAACTGTAAACTCAGCCTGCCATGGGAAACCTGTTTTGTTATTGCCTGCTTCGAATGCTGCTACTGCGACTTGGTAATGTTTTTGGAAAAAAGATGTTTTGGTTATGGAGAAGCGAAGCCAGAAATTTAAATCGTTAATTTGTATTTGTAAATACCGTAAACCATTGTTATCCATTCATTGCATGTGTAGAGCAATCCATTCATTGCATTGTTATCCATTGCATGTGCAGAAAGAATGAGTTTTGCTAATGTTTTAGCTTGTATAAGTGTAACCCTTTATGTTCCAAATTATTTTATATTTTGGAAAAGAGTTAGTAACTTTTTTATTATACTTTTTTTGTATGAGAAATATCTCACATTAAACTTCAATGTTATAATTACAATTATAATATTACAAAAATGTTATAAATTTTCACTTCTTTTTTTAAATTTAAAATCGGGGCTTTAAAATCCGGTCGGGACATAACTGAGCGATTATATTGATGGAAGTCTCGTAGAAAAATAAAGGGTTAAACTCAAGTTCAAATACATATTTTATTTTACATTTGCTGTATTTACTTAGTGTTCTGGTATCTAAAAATAAAGACGATAATTTATCCGACAATCCAAGAATGAGTAATCCAAATGAAGTTTTATTTGATAAATTTATGAACTTTGTTGGTTCGCAAACAAATGTGATTAAAATGAACAGAGGCAGTTAATTGAGAATAAGTATTCAAAGCATTTAAAGAAAAAATAATTTTGGAAGATTTTTTATAAATTACAGCGTCAGTTCAGGCTATAATCTTAGAAAGTTATCGAGGTAATCGTTTATTCAACAGATCTTTCCTCTAGATTCTAGGGTTCAGTCCTATGAACAGAGCAGTGTTAAAACATAGAAGCATTTGAACCGACGTCTGTATGTTCAGTTAGACGAGGGAAGGAAATTAGAAGGTGCATATGCTTTAATTTTTTATATATACTGGGGGACAATTGCTAAGGACGGATAACAGTAGCAGCGATAGCAACCACAAAATGGAAGGCAGAAAAATGTGGAAATTAGTATAAGTTCAGAATACAGTAAGACGTGTTGTGCGTATGCAAGTTTTGGATTGCCGAAGTTGTTCTTCACGTGATGCGCTGATAAAAGAGATAAAGGATTTGACGCAAATTGGCCTTTGTTGTTCAAAATAAAATTTAACGGGGAGGAATCAATTGATGAATTTGCAATTTTCGGTATGTCTTCCCGATATCATGTAGATGATTTTACGCTTAGCTGTATTATTGGCAAGACAGAAAAAGGGTAAAAACAGATGTTGCTAGGTTGTTCCACGTCAGCGACAGTGTTGTTTCAAGGCTATGGGAATCATTTCAAACAAATGGAATGTGTAGCAAACGTCACGGAGAAGGTCATATTCGCAGTACGACGCCTGCAGAAAGTAGGTACATAGTGCTATCGACAAAAGAACCGGCGCAGCGCAGATATTGAGGTAGTAAATCAGTTACTTTCTGTTACTGGCAAGCGAATCTCCCAGAAAAGTATAGCCAGACATTTGCATCAAGGAGAACTAAACCAACACCTTCTAACAGAAGGTGGAGTGTTACCTTCTGCTAAGAGGTGTTGACTCTATGCCTGCCGTTCTATTGTGTGAATTTCTTTGTATATACAAGCAACGTACCGCCCGTTTACAATGGTATCACGAACATCGTAATTAGACACAATAGAACTGAGCTTGTGTACTATCCTAATGAGAGTAGATTCAGTGTGTTACCGGAATATAGATGCCGACAGATCTAGCGTGAGAGTGGTACTGTTTATCATTCAGACAATATCCAGGAAAGGACCGATATGCGAGATGCAGTATCATGGTATGGGCTAGCACTAGGATCAATGGACACAAGGCCCTATATGTGGTTGCACCTGAGACTATGACTGGCCAACGATACATTAATGATGCTCTGCTGCCTCTGGTCGCATGTTCCGTTGTGCTGTTGGTGATAAATTTGTTTTCATGGACGACATACGCAACTGTCATCGAACAGTTGCTGTCCAGGAGTGTCTAGACAGCGAGTATATTCAATGCCTCGTATAGCCAGCACGTTCTCCAGATTTGAATCCTATTGAAAGGGTTTGGGATGCTTTGGGAAGGAGTCTAATTGGCCGACAATACCCTCCTATAAATAGGGACACACTCATACGTGGACTTGCAGAGGAATGGGATAAATTACTCCAGCAGGTAATGGATAATTTTGTGCAAGGTTTCACTTTTACGTATTCAGCACAATATGACTATTTTATCCCTTTTTCAAAGCATTCTAGATTTCAGAACACAATAAGTTATCTTTATTGGTATGTTCTAGTATTATGGCATTATTTTATTTTATTTGGCATCCAAGCACACTTACTTTTTAACATGCTATATAGCCTTTTGTGATCCATCCTTAGCAATTGTCCACCAGTGTAGTACAAAACAATGCTGCAAGCAGGCATTAAATTATGAATAATTTAGTTAATAATTTGGTAATACGTAACAATTTGGTAATTAGTTAATAATTTGGTAATGCATAACATCAGTTAATAATTTGGTAATATGTGATAATTAATTCTTATTGGGAATATTTGTGATAGTTTACCTTTTACTTCTATTGCTTAGTATTGGTCACGGGCTGACCAGATTGTTTCGAAACGATAACACTACAGCTGTGTATAGGATACGTTCCATACTTTGGGTGCATTGATATGAAGATAATGACAATTTGGCGATGGAAACCTTACAAGCGGAATGTCAAGCATGAACATTGGCAGTGTAATTGCCATTAAAGGCATACAGTTGTGATGTTGCGTGGCCCCAACTTGTCCGCAACAGTAGTAGTGACTGCTATGAACTGGAAATTACACAAACTCTTAAGAAGGGTTTAATCCCTTTTTATATCACTTTAGAAATTACAGTTGCGTTCACTTGACGCTCACAAACTACGCCGACCTGGCGGTGTAACAAAAATAGAAAAGTACAACTAAAAATAAATAACAGGATGAATAAATAACGAGGTCACTACCTACGAGGCTCCATAAACGTGACTAATATAACCGCGGTCTAAGATACAGCTGTGATTCAGCAAACTTTCTGATTAAGAAGTTGAAAGATTCAACTAACTGCCGAAATAGGCACACAGGCCGAAACGCGCGGTTCTTAAACTTTCTACCAAGTAATCTTCACGCTCGGGATTCAAGAAGAACACTTACAAATCTCGTTTCCCTTCTATTTAACTCAAATTACTTCTGCTAAAAATTTGAATACTCTGCGCGTTCTACTAAAATTTACATATTCTGGCATTGGCAATTCCAGGGGAAAGTAAAGGACAGGAAAGCAAAGGACTTGACAGGAAAGATATCTTAAACTTAAAATAAATGTTTAGTTAAAATAAATATAAACCCTACACAGTTACTAACAGTTACTAACTACACAGTACTACACAGTTTTCTTAGCTATGAGGCTTCGTTTATTAGACTTGAGTCTTTCGATCGCATAAGGCAAGAGCTGTTGCCAGACATTGTGAATTTTCATGTTCTAAAAGTCATAAACAAGCTGTGCACGTTTAACTGACATATATTGTGTCTACAATCTTGTGTGTAAAAGCATTTTCACCGAAAATCCCTAAAGAGCATCGGTTGCAGAATGTATGCTGACTCGAAGACGGATATAATGAGATTTTATCGCATATACTTGAGAGATATATACATACAGAGAGAGAAGCAAATTTCTGCGACTATTTTCAAATCTTCAGTCATCTAATAGGACAATTACCTTGGTACCGCGACAACCATTTTGAAATACTTTTCGGTAATAAACCGAACCTCGAACAGAAGCTTTAAAATCCTTACTTTTATACTAAAAGTAAATAATTTTAATAAATATAATTAGTAATTTTTTCAATCATTATGTAGCTAAAATTTGTCACCTTACTTGTGCATACAAGACTCGGAAAAAAGGGAAAGAAATCCGACATCCTCATAATCTCAAAGATGAATGCATTGGTGTAAGGCAAATTGCTTTTATCTTCTAAAGTTGGTTCCCTGTCTGGTCCAACGACGTCCAGAATTTCTTCGTATATCTTATCTTGCTCTTCAGGATATTTTATCAGAGCAATGAAAAATATTCCAATGAAATGGACGACGCTTAGTATACCATCTCCTATGAACTGGGTAAGTGACCCCATTAAAGCTTTTCCTAATAATGAAAGAAGTCGTATTTACAGTCCAATAATGCGAGATAAAAATTAAAAAGAATTACAAGATTATTATCGAAATTAAATACTTTAGAAGTACATGTTTACTGCTAGATTTTGTACCATTTTCGAAGGGTAACAAATGGTTAATACCAAAATTCTGAGCTAAAAGGATTAAATAATTAGGATCTGTATAGAAATTAATACAAGAATACTTAATTTTTTTTGGAAGGTAAAATGGAAAGTGTAAAGAATTAAATTACGAAAAGCAAATGAGCTTAAAAACATAACTATAAACAGGCATATATACTTGTAAAGTACTCAGCCGTGGGATCGCCTCTTCTCCTTCGTTCATTCCGCTCTTTCAAATAAGCATCGACTATATTCCGGACGTGATCTTCATTGAATGTCTTTTCGTGTTCATCTATAATTTCGTAGACAGCATCTTCCATAAGCTTTTGATTCTTAACTATTTGACCGTAACCTCGTTTGAAACGGAAAATCAAACGCCTATAAAATTGAAATGGGTAAGGTAATGTATAATTCAAATAATAAGATTACAAAAATCATGAAAAAGCATCCTTCATAGCGAAACATTTCCCTAGTATTTAAATTTATGCTAAGAAGCAATGAGTAGAATATGCCGCACTGAAATGTAAAACCAGTTTATTTGACTATTAAATCAAAATGAAACCTTCAGCATTCAGAGATTTGTTTGCGTCCATCTGCAAGTACGAGTTTCTGTTAAAAAAGGTTTGAAACCTTGCTGGTGTGTGATAGACTTAAAATATCTCAGATGGATTTATATTATAAACTTGAGCTTGAAATTCGAGGCTATGTTTATGCTAACTAAATTTGCAAATGAACCTCCACCTAGGTTAGATTACTTGTTATATTGGGGTTGTTCGGAAAATAATTTTGTTTTTACCCAACAGAGGACTTTATTGTAGTTATTTTGCAGCCAACGTCACACTTAAAAGCCGCATAGTCATTGTATATTTTGATAGCTGATATAGCAAGGCTTGTTTGTGAAATGTTTGATTGATTCTATGCAGCAGTTTTTGGTTGGTGTCCTTTCAAATGTGGAAAGTATTTTAGGCACATTTAACTTTTTTCAAACCTTAAAAGAGGCATTTCCTTTCCGTAAATCGACTGTACCAGTTGCTAATACTCTTAAAATATTTCACTTTAGGATTATATTTAGGCTGACATGCTTCTACAACCTGTATTATTATATTTCCTTTCTTGAATATTATTATATTATTCTCTCCTTGAAAAAAATTTTTAAAAATTCGTATACATAATTATCTTTCTTATTCTTAATTTGTTTTCTAAAATAAAAAGTTAGTACATCACTTTCACGACTTTTATATCACGCTTACCAAAATTTTTAATTGGTTTTCAAAATTGAGAACCAATCGCCTGTCTTTAAGTCTTCAATAATATTACTGTATGTCAGCTTGGGACACGTTTATATGAATTAGCCTAAATATTTATATTCGGCATATAAACTGAGTGCATTTTGAGAAAATATCTCTTCAGCTCAAAACATTCGCACATATCAAAACGCAAGAAAAACACGCCGACGTGGAAAATAAAATAGGTAAATCTACAACCTTGTATTCGGCGTAGATTTTGTAAAATCCCAATCGATATCGAGGGCTAAACGGTTCCCCTTTCATCAGGAGCAAAAAATTCTGCAATAGGGAGAAACCACTTCATTCCATTTACCGTTGTTATACTGGGCCTAGCCTGCGTGAAATTGCAGGCTTTTTGCCAGTTGTCTTCATGTAGGGCATCCTAGAAGTAAAACTATCTATAAAGGTGTCACAGAGACAAAATGTGAATAGTAAAAAGGAAGGTGGCTCATTGCCACTGTAGAAATTTACATCGTGGAGTGGTATAGGGAGAAACTTTGATACTTTTGATATGCCTGTTTCAGCAGAATTATATCCCGCTATTACAGGCTTTTCAAATAACCCCGGTTGGAGGAGACATAACATACTTCGCAGGAATACCTTGACAAGGAAAACTGCAAGAAGATTGTGTAGATGTGGGCCAGGCTAGTGTAAATGAAAATGTCATATTTTGATACTTCGAAATCGGTTGGAAGAAGTTAAGTTTATTTATGGGGGGGGATTCATACCTTACGGGCGTCCAATGGAAGCGCCGATAGCGCCATCTGTTGGCAGAAATAGCAACGAAAAATGAAGGGTTAATTTAGTAAAATTGTAAAGGCATTAGGCAAGACTGTATTGGAATTAAAGTCACTGACTAAACAGAATAAATTTTTGTGAATGTGAAAAACTTCAAGAAAATCTAATTGCCTTATAGAACCAGTTTTCTGGATAATTTTAGCAGAACCAAAATCAAAATTGGGATTGAATTTCTAATTATGATTAGCTATTGAAGATTTGTTAATTTCGCCTTTTTGGACGTAAGATTCACGTTCCGTTATGCGAAACTTTAATGCTCTTTTTGTTTGTCCAATATAACTTAAGCCAAACTGACAGGATATGAAATAAATTCCACAAGAATTAAAATCAGAAATAGAATATTTAAGAACCGAACCTCGGATTTTATTTACATGCGAGAAAACAACTTGAAAATTGTAAAATCCGTGCAGTTTTGTAACTGATATAAAAATGAAATGGAAGCACAACAAGCTTATTACTGGGGTATTTCTAACATCAGAATGTATTCTTAGATGGCACGATGAGAACAGCCTTATCGATGACTACGGGAGAAAAATTCTCGGTCAAGGGCAACAGATCTTAAATAATCGAATTCATTAGCAAGAAGAGATTCTGAGGAACAAATTTTGAGATCTCGAAATACATAATAGTAATAAGAAGCCAATTTGCATAGCCGGTGACATAAGGTAGCATGGGGAGGTATACAAACAGAAAAGGGTTTACGGTAAACAATTGTGCTGAAATTAGATCCATTTCGGATTATAAGACTATCAAGGATGGGAAGTGTATTATCAGATTCAGTCTCAAAAGTGAACTGGATGGCTGGATCAATCGAATTTATAACAGATAAAATCTGAGGTACGTCTTTCTTATCACCATCAAAAAGAGCGAAAGTGTCGTCTACGTGGCGAATCCACAGACGAAAAGAGAGTTTTTCAAATAATTTGACCTCAAAATAGTGCATTTAAATGTCAGAAAATACAGGACTGAGGGGATTACCCATAGCTAGTCCTTCAATTTGGCGATGATATTCATTTTGGAAACAAAGTGAGTTTGACTCACAGAAACTTTAGTGAGGGAAATTAACTCTTCAATTTCAATATGTGAAATTCTCGAAGTCTAATTTCAAGGCATTTTACTGCACCTTCGAATGGAACGTTAGTAAACAGCGATTTAACATCAAACGAAACCATTAATGAAGTGCAAGGGAGAAATATATCTTTAAGTTTATCGATGAAAGAATTTTTTACTTCGTGAATATTGTTGGAAAGTAAAGGAGAAAATGCGGAACCTAAATATTTGGCCAAAAGGTACGATGCCGTTCCTAAATTGGAAATTATAGGTCGAAAAGGAGTTCCAATTTTGTGAAATTTAGGGAGAGCATAAAACCTAGCACAATCAGCTGTAGGTGAAACTAATGATTTCTTAAGCTGAATCGAAAGTATATGAGAAGATTTAATAGCTGTTTTAACTCTTGCGAGGTCAGAAGTTGAGGGATCGAACTAATCAGTTTCGTAACCCCATTAATGTATGTGTCTATAACCACAATTTGTCCACCCTTTTCAGCCTTCGAAATTAAAATATTAGGATTAGAACGAATTTCACGTAAGGATTTCTTTTTCTTTTGGTTGAGATTCGAAACAAATGAATTGTTGTTAAAATTCACATTATAAGTAACGAAGTGGCGAATTGTATTTTTCTGTGTTTCTAAAATTTTAGAGAATTTAAAAGCTTTTTCAATAGGAGTGATGATTGGAGGAATTGAAGGTTTCGATGACTTACAAAACTTAAAGTTATATTTTAATACATTCATTTGATTCTCTGAGAGATTCACCTTTGAGATATTAACAATGGGATTAGTGTTAACAGTAAGAAGATCCACAAGATGAGCGGGGCTAGCTGAAAGAGCCGTGAGCTTTTGGAATTTAGAAACAAGGATGTTTTTATGACGTTGACAAGCAGTTTCAGTCCTAACAGTTTCAGACGTTTTCCTCATTGATCATAAATCAATCACATCACGCAACCGAGCGCACAACCCGGCTTCAAACGCGATGACCAGTCGCACAACCACCTATCACATTAAAGTACTCAGAGGCGAATGTGTAGTGATCAATCAAACACTCGTGCTAGGAAATATTTCAAATATCGGAAACTAATGCACAAATGCACTTTTGTTTTAGTTTAAGGTATTAAACTGGCGTGAAGAAGATACACTATCGAATCCTGAGGTCGTTTACTGTCTTCACAGATATAAGGAATTTGTAACACCGCACTTCCTATCTTTGCTAATAGACGGCTACACAAGGAAGCAATAGCAGACTGAGAGTCATAAGGAGTATAACGCGAGTCTGAATCGTCACAAGAGGAAAATATTCTTGGATCTATCTTCTCTACCACACAAACCAAAATTCCCATCTAGATTTAAAATCACAATTATAGTATCTTGTCTTGTATCTTGTCTACTTCCCACAGTTATTGAACATAGCTTTAGTAAGCTCCCTGTTCCGAGTCAGGTCCCTGTTCGGGCGCCACTATCAGGTTCTATGTTCCGTTTTACTTTCTTTGGGAACATGCAGGGACCTGACTCGGAACAGAGAGCTTACTAAAGCTATGTTCAATAACTGTGGGAAGTAGACAGGATACACAAGAAGGGTATACAAAACCCTTTATTTTTCTCTTTACAATAATTTCCGTACTTCGGAATACAAGACCACTACTTGTGGTCTAACGTAAAATATAAAAATATAACTATAATTAACTTTGAAATAATAAACGTGGAAGATTGGCCTTATATTAACAGGAAGCCGTATGTAGTACAGAGAACTGTTAACACTACAATACGTTTAAAAATTATCACGAGGATTAAACCTCTGGCCTGGAAGGCAAACCAGCAACTGAGTAAAACTTCTAAGGTAAGCGGCCTGCTTCGACTAACTCTTTCCTCTCTCTCGCTTGGCAAAAAGCCACAACTTAAGTACTTGGCGTTCGCCAGACAAATTTTGCATAAATAAGTTAACGCTTTTAATTCTGGCCGGAAGTAGAAAATAAGAAGTGATAGTAAAGATTTAAAAAAAAAAATAAACGTTAGTAAAACTTAAGATCCTTACAATAGTAATAAACTATTTTAGAGTATTAGTCTTAAATACTTTGTTAATAAAACTATTAAAAGAATCCAAATAAATTTACTTACTCTGCTAGCACCCCAGTAAGAAGCAAATTAGTTCCATAAGTGGCTTCCAATAACACACCATATGGCTCGATAACGTTCCGCATTTGCTGTTCTGTGATGCCATTCTCTCCGAATAAGATCCGACGCAAAACGTTCGAACACTTTTCATTCAGAATCTCAATAATGTTGACTGGTAGACCATTCAGATTGCGAAGATCTACAATAAGGGAATTCAGGGTATCATACATAGGTCCAGAAGTATTATCCTTCAAAGAACTCGTCATGCCAATGTCTTTGAAAGTTTGGAAGAAGAACTTTCGAAGAACTTTCCATGGCTCACCATTGATGAAAGCAACACCTGCAAAAACATTTTACGAATTTAAAAAAATGCTCTGAAATGTAATATACTTTTGAACACAGAAAGAAACAACTTTAATGACATGGTGATATCGTTTTCAAATGTAAAAACCCATAATTCATTTAAATTCCATGATAAACTTTGGTGATTACTGCATCTCCAAATCTTTCCTATCCAAATTACCAAATTACGTCTATAAATAAATTAAAAAAATATTAAACAAGTATCAAACTTTATTTTTTCATATGATAATATGATACTAGAATATTAAATTTAATGACAGAAAGAGTTTTATGGAAAAATATTTTGCTATATAACATTCATAGATCTGTCATTTTTTCAAGTGATAGTAAGAGTGTTTATAAAATGCAAGGAGAGTGTTTATAAGATTTGGTGCAAAAGGCTGACGTCTTCAGAATTCTAAAATTTTGTTATTTTAAATATTATTGTTATTAGTTTCTATGACCGGGCTGCTATTGGTTATGCATTCGCAGGAGGTTAGGCCGAAGTCGCCCGTAATTTAAACCTCTCATCATCAAGAAATTTGCCCAGTATTGCCACAGGGGGCGATTTATGTTGCACCGTCAGAAAGGTTAATAGCAAAAGATAAAAACCGAAGCTTTAGAAAGGAAATCGAACTCGTATTCACATTTCGGATTGCAATCAGCCTCGGTTTATCACCATACCTACATTGTGGTAAAAAATCACCTTTGTAGTTTAAAAACGCGTTAAATTTCAGAAGTTATGACTTATATTTTGAAAGAGCCAGTTAGAGATATTTAACCCTTAGCACTCGAGGCCTTTTTCGCTTGCGCGAACCAGCAACTCGAGACGATTTCGGCCAAATTCTGCAAACACTTTACAAGTACTTATTATAAACAAAAAAAAGTATACAAATAATAAAATTTCACCAGTTTATTCATTTATATGTCGAAAACAACAAACTTTGATAAATATCTCTGTAATTAGTTTTGTTGTGGCACTTCAAATCGGCCGCTCGATTTGACACTTCAAATCGGCTGGGAGCCGTATCGGCGCTACTCTAGTGGAAAGGGTTAATTAATTCATGAATGAATTACAGCAAAACATTCGAGATCTATTTACAAATCAAGCTTTTCTTAAGGATTCTTAGTGAAACTGGCTCATAATTAAATTATATATGTGTAAACACTGTGCTTAATTTCAGCACCAGTATTGTCTTCCTTCTCTTTCAATAACGCCAGGGAGTTTCGAAAGTTTTATTATAGTCCTTTAGTTGTGAAAAACAAATTGGTTACTACTATTTTTTTAACTTTCAAATTAAAAAATTCAAATTTTTTTATGTTTCTGAAAAGGTGGCGGCTATTTAAGATTGGATTATTTCTTTTGTTGTTCTGACTTTGAGGAAAGTAAGCAAGAAACAAATTCTCTACTTATTTCATCTACAACACAACTTTTCTCTTAGTTTTTAACAAATTAAGGGCTGGTTTAAATGATTTTTCTATTACACTCCCCTCTTCCTTTATATTTTTATTTGTTTTGTTACTGCGCTAATATTAATTCATTTTGCTCTGAAACTTTTATACAACTTCAAACTATAGTTCTGCATGGGTGGATTTCATTCACTTATTAATTTTTACATGAAATATATTGTTAATTGCATCAGATTTTACTGAACTTTTAATTTAATTTTAGTGCTTTTATAATTACTTTTGAATTATATATACACTGTAATCCACTCAGAGTACCTAAACCTATTCGACAAACATTAAAATTAAAATTAAATAATAATCAAAGATGTCAAATATTGGCTAAAACTCTTGGTACGGTTCTGAAAATTGGCATGTAAATATTCGTAAGATTTAGTATATCTAATAGGTTATTTTTATATTAATATTTTCCCTATATCCTATATGCCTTTCCTCAGCCATCATCAGAATGGCAATCGAGTTGATATAGGAGTAAATGTATCGTGGAAAGAGAGAGAAAGAGTTAAGGCAACTCGTGAAAAAGTTATTTCATGAGATGTCAAGCTGAATGCCAACTTGAGTTTGGTGACAAATTTTGAATTTCTTAAAGTGTAAGACCTAAATACAAGGAAGCTGCAGCCAGGCTTGATTAAGCATTGTTGAAGTTGCTAAAGTTATATTAGCCATTGCAGTTATTTGTTGTGTTCTCCATATTTTAATATTGTATTTCTAAGACCTTTCAAACAGAGGTATATAAGTTCTATTAAATTTATTTTTATCTGGATGAGGTAATTTTAATAAATATTTTAGTGATGTTTATTTCTTATTATGTTTAGAGTTTAAAACGTCTAGTTAAATATGAAGAGGATAATCCGTCTGAAGTGTAGTTTAATAGAGTATAGTTTCATGGTTACTTAAAATTAATCTTATAACATTCTGTGGGTGTCTAAGTACCTAACTAACTATTTTTCCTATGTGTTCAATTTTAGATGCTACCTGTTGATGTTATGTCGATGAGTTATCACTTTTGCTTAGTCAGACTGTGGACACAAGATACCAGGTAAAATGTAAAAGTTTACTTAAACTTTATTTTCTCATCTCCGGTAAGTGTAACTTAAAATGCAGCAACACAAAGTTTTAAGTCTCTTAGATTACGCTAGATTACTGAAACTGTTACAAAGATTAATTGGCTACAAGTACAGTGATTTTACGCGAAGTTACAACACCAATTGGGTCGGACAATCAAAGCTCATCTGAGGTTCAACATTTACCGAAACAAAAAATAGCAGAAGCGGCAGCAACAGCGAAGTCTCTAAATCATGGCGGTTACGATCCTACATCTCAATTTAAACCACTCCGCTGGTTCTAAAATTTGCATATCCCTCTTGACTGAGCGAGTGCATAACGAAGGGAAGAATTAATACATTAATGAAACTTAAAAGAAATGTTACACATTTCCGCATTTAAAGGATAATGAAATTTAAATATGTTTTTATATCATTTTTCAGTCTTGAACAAGGCGCCTTGATGTATCATCTGCTTACTTAAATAAGCCGGTGTAATGTCTGCATTATAATTAAAATGCTTCCGATAATGTACTTTTGAAAAACTGAGAATCTAGAATTATTTATTTATTTGATTAATTTTTATTACACTCTAAAGTTATGATTTTCAGTTAACAAGAAATTATAATGAAAAATATTTTTTAATCTGCTAAGCCATGAATTTTTATTTTTAAATTAAAAGTGAAGCTCATAAATTGTAATATTGATATAACTCATAATTTTGTGTTACTGAATAATTGCCTGGTGTCTTAATCTAATGTTAAAAGATGTCTGATAAAACGTTAGTTTTGCTTTCGTTCTTTCTCGAATTCATTTTTATTTGAACCTTTTATCTGCTAAAGAGACAGCAAAATTTTCAGAAATTTTAAAATAGTTTACTAAAAAATTGCAATATTTGCAAAAAACAGCAGTGCATTTTGTAACATTATAAAACGTGAATATTGCGTAAAAATATCTGAATGAAATATTTAATGAAAATAATCTAAAATAACGCACTTTTATTTGCAAAATTTAATATCAAATATCTCATTATAACAAACAAGAAAAATACCTCATAGAATTTTATCATCTTTTTTTTTTTTTTTTTTTTTTAGCTATAAGAATTTGAACGGATAAAGCAAAAATATTAATGATAGTTAGTATTAAAATTTTCAGTTTTATGTCCGTTTAAATGGATATGAAAACTCGCAAAAACACCTAATTGTATTATGTTTTCTATATGAAATTTAAAGAATACTTTCAATAAGATGTGAACAATATTTTAGATCCAAACATGAAAAGTTGAATTTTCAAGAACTTTTCCCCAAATCTCTAAACTTATATGCTTTTTGACTTCAAAAATAAAATTAATTACCTCCACTGAATGTAAAATTCAACATGTTGAAATCAGTGTACCTGCCAGCAAAGTATTCAGAATTTGTAACATGGGCTTCTCGAATAACCTTCATACTACCCAAATTGAGGAACAGCCGTCCTACTAGTCTGAAACATGAAAGGTCTCCATACTTCTTCACGTATTCGTCCAACTGCAGATGTAAATTTTCATCTTTCAAAAATGGATAAATGCCAAGAACTGGTACTCCAGTGGGTCCCGGTGGTAAACCTCTATCTCTCATAAAGCAATATGCAGTAGTTAGAAGAATAACTGTTGCTGCCAGAATTGCAGAGAAAGTAGATGCATCCAAAGAACTTTGAATGAAGTCGAATAACATTTTACACAAGGGGTCCGAAGAGCGAAACAGAGGATCTGAAGGAAGAAAATAACAATAATAATCTTAGTAGTATTTGCAATTATTATTGTAATCCTTATTGTAATTCATAACGAATCAAAGTGGACTAGTTAAAGATATAGCCATCAATACGGCAATTTTGCTCAGTGAGCTTTTACAAAATTAAATTTGTGAGCACATGAAATAATATTTCTCTCATAAGCTTTCACTGCATGCATTCAGTACCGACAGAATTCCTGTAGGTAAAAGAAGCCTTTTTATGTGAAGACACAATTAAATAACAATTGAAAAACATTATTGAATAATTTTATTTCCATTTATACTGAAATATTTAAAATAATATATAAGACATGGAAACCAAGATACTAAAGTATTTTTCAAGATGTAAGTTTTAAACCCTCGATATCCTTACAAAAGTTTTTTGATAGTGGAAGAGACTCATTCCATTCCTAGAGTTCTCCGTCAATGTGATCAATGTATTACGTAGAAATCTGGTTTCAAGGAACATTAAGTAATTCTAACTGTTTGTTTGGTTGCAAGAAAGAAAAGGTGAGTAATTTAGTTGTTAAAGGCGCTTAGAAAAATAGATAAACAAAAGGATCAGGTTTAGGTGGAATTGTAGTGGGACACCCAATGTTTACTATAAGTAATGTAGGTATAGTCCCACTACACTTCGGTTTATTTTTAAAGTTAGTATTTAAAATAGTACATAATAGTATATTGACATTATGATTGATATCATATCTATTAGATATAATTATAGTAGTTATAATAGGTATAATAATAATAGACCAACAGTCATAATTTATAGCAGTTCATAATAGTTCCTTGAGATAAAGTTTATGAATCCGTGCCTTCTTCCTCTTCTTTTACCTTTTTTACTATATCATTATTATTGCATGGATTTTTTTAAGATAATTATTTAATTGTAGATGAACTGCAACTTCAAAACGGATCAGAATAAAAAATTCTTTCCCTTTTTAGTTTCCGGTAGCCTAGAAAAGCGTTGTTCTAATAAGCCAACTAGTCAGAGGTGGGTGGATGAAAAGGAGGATTTTGCTTTGAAAGAAAATGCTTCCTTATGTGCGATCGGTCGAAAAGTTAGAAGGTCTAAATTTAGTAAACTAAGCGATATAGAAAAAAAAAATTATTATACGAGTAGATATGAAATTAAAAGAGGTGGCTTAGATAAAGTATCCCTTGTTAAGTATGGCACCATTTTATTGTTTAGATTGCTTTTGGATTTGGTAAAGAAATAAAATATAGACAGGCTCTCTACGGGGCCTATTATTGTTGAAAAATTGTTTCATCTAATGCTATGAGGCTGCTATCTGCGGAGAAGAGTTAAAGATATACGTCAGTTTCACTCACAGGTGAAGTAGGGAAAGTGCTTTGCATAAATGTAATTTTCTGTATGTTTATAATTAGCTTGAGAAAAAGTGTTGTGACATACTTTTCGACCAATGTAAGATCATGTGAGGCGAGATTGTGGCAAAAGTCGGTTGTAATTAATAATTAGATCAAAGAATGAATAAAAAACATTGAGGGAAAAAAAGAAAAAGCCAAAGGAGAAGAGGAAGAAAAAGTTGAGGAATGCCAAAGGAAGTTTGGCTCAATGAGAAACAACGAAAAAATATAAATAAAGGTATACGAGATTAGAGATATGAAAGATAGCGCTATGAGAAACCGCATGAACGGGCGAGATGAAGGTGAATTTACTGACTATCTAAAATATATTACTGATTACTTTTTCTTCATGTGTCAAACATAATAGCCGAACATTGATAACAACTTTAAAACATTTCTCTCTCTCGTGAAGGCAGTTCTTCGATATTTAAAAATCTGCGCCAAAATCTCTATATTCAAGCCATTAAAACAACTTTTCTAACATTGCCCCTGTAAGCTGGTAGATATACACGGTAAATCATAATCCTGAGTGTACATATTTCACTGCTACCTTTGTTTTACAATATTTATCAAATGATTTCTTTGACAAATTTGGTATGCTTTATTTAAAATCACAGAACGGATAACTGCTTGCCAATCAGGGCTTAATTTCTAAAATTAGATGTCCCGGAGCCTTTATAGAAGACTGTTAGGTAAGAAGAAGAAAACGAATAAATAAATAAAATAATAATAAATAATTATAGAATAAAAAAATCTGAAAGCATATCTTTTGAATTTTTAAAATGAGCATATCTTTTGAATTTCTAATACAGAGACTCGCGCGCTGGAGATAAAAATGTTTTTTTCTAAAAATGTTTTTTTTTTTTTTTCTGTACAACGTTGCGAGTGCTCGCTTTGAGCTCGTTAACAAAATTTCGTTAAAGTTTTACAAAATATGTAATCGATAATAAAACAAATTCCAAATTTCAAATTTGGTCTTCCACATGCCCATATTCGTAGGAGGATTACGTCATTCAAAATTGGATGGCTCTAGGTACCGGTGTTTTATCACAAGGCGAGAAGCATACATACATGTATACACATTCTTTATTGTTTAATTTCTTCAAATATAATACAAGGCGATAATATTTGGTGGCTACATTTTGAAAAGTGAAACGGTCATTCAGAGTGATTCGACGCAAAATCGTGAAACGAAAACAATAGTCCGTCAGTGATAAAGAAATCCCTTTGTACTAAAAATGCATGGTAATTTTTAATAAATTAGCAGTCAGTATATAAGTGTTTTTTTGATAAATGTTTGGTTTTTGAATTATTTTAAAATTTATTATCCGAATTGAACTAAACCATATTCTAAATTAAATTTAAAAATCTCGAATTTGTCTATTTGAAAAAAAATGGCGCAAATACTTGATTAGATTATTTATGCTTAAGCGAATATCATCAAAAAGAAGCGCAGTGTATAGAGCTTGGTTCTTCATTCATATTTGGGATGCAGTCTATTGCGAATATTACGCTGTAGTTAAGCTTAAGATCATGAGATTATCGAAACCTTAACACTTCAATACCATAAGTATAAATAAAAATTTCTTCCAATTAAAGCAAATAAAAACAAGTAAAGGAAAAATCTAAAAATTAATAGTTTGAAAAATATTTATTTTGAACGAAAAATCACTAACCTCAAATTCTGAATTTGAGTAGGCCTAGAAACAATCTTTCTCCAGTCTTCAGTTTATCTCATATCCATTGGTTGCATGAGCTCTGTTTGCATCTACCCTTCCGAAACATCCTTCTTTTAACGACGAATACATATTTTTTTCATTCTCGTTTGAATGGGCACTCGCATCCGGCTTTTGGTCCATTCGACAGTTAACATCTACACTTACTTGCGTGCTTAGAAAGATCATTCCTGCAGAAGAGCTTTTTCACTTACTTCATTTTTGGCAGTTCAATAAGTTGAATGATACGTAATCTTATCGTTGAGAAAAACAAATATTCAGAATTTACTGATAATATAAGTTTTTCCTTACTCAAAAGAAGGCAAGAGAACTAAAACGTAGAAATGTTTTTGAAGTGCAATTATTAATCATAAAATACTAAAGCTGTGTTATTTTTGTCCGATATTTTTTAAAACTGTTTTCATTTAACAGATGCCTTAAAGAATGTGCTAAAATTTATTAAATTATGCTGTCGATTTTCTTAAATGAGGAGGATAATGCATTTAACAACCATTGCGGGGAAATTTTCGAACGCTATTTTTTTAATCTAAATTTAGAATCTTGTTTCTTAGCTTTCTAGACACTTATGCTGTTATGTCATAATAAGCATTTCACGCTCTATTATGACACTCTCGAAATTTGATACTGTATTTTAGTACATATTAATATAAAAAAAGACAAAACCTATTATAATAGTTATAAGAACAGAGTACTTTTTTGCACCTGTATATTCAGGCTATGATTCAGGCTTTCGGGTACATCGGGAGGCGTTCATGTCCAGTCTAGTACTGGACACAGGCGCTTGCCGGCGTATCTGAAAATATTTAATTTGCAAAATAATAGTCTTTGTAATTTTTGTAGTGCTGTAGACAATACACGGTTTTTCGTAGACTGAGTATTATTGCGACGTGCTAAGAAAAAATATGGTAATATAAAGGAATTGTATTGCCATAGGGAAAAAGTTTAGATTTGCAAAGAAGCAAAGGATTTGATGAACTTTATAATGACAACAATATTAGTAATTTTGATTTGATGTTTTTAACTGTATTTTTGTTATAATTTGTGTTAGGTGTGCTGCGTTAACCATGAGGTCAATTATTATGAACCAGAAGGATTGTAGAACACTCCTATGTTACATTACATTGACCCTATTATGACACTCTCGAACAATTTCAAACTTCGGTACTGAATTTTAATATAAAATGATTAATAGAGTTAAAGAGTAATTTTTTAAACCTCTCAAAAACTGAAAAAAATCCAATGACACTAAAGTTTCCTCCTAAGAAAATTCCGAACCCCATAAACCCTGTAAATCTGCAAAAGTTTTCAAATTTTTTTATTACGCCCAAAAGGGCGTTTTTTTTCATTTACAAACACTTACGCATTTCGAGAACATTTGGAATAACTCTACTTTGGGCTATTTAAAAACAACATAATTTTGGAATTTCTGGTAGATCTCTTCCCGCTTTGGAGATAAAAGTGTTCAATTTCCTATAGTGTTACAACTGCTCACTTTAAAATCGTTGAGTTTTTTAATCAAAAATTCGTTAAAGCTTTACAAAATATAAACTAGACAATGAAACAAATTCGAAATTTCACATTCGTGCCTCCAGGTGCCCATGTTTGGGTGGTGGACTATGTTATTCAAAATTTGAAGACTCTAGGTACCGTTGCTTTTTCACAGTGCAAGAAATATGTATACGTTCATGCCGACTCTTCGTTATTTAACGTCTTTAAATATAATACAGGACGATAATATTTGGGGGCAACAATATGAATAGTGATACGCCCTTTATAATGATTCAAAGCAAAATGCCGTTTCGAGACTAATATCCTATTCGGGACTAACATCTGAAATCAGAGGTAGAAGAATATTGCATCCATTATATATTTAATACAAACTTATTATTCTACATCGATAAATATAAGAAAAAAATATAATTACTTTATATCTATTAAACTTCGACCAAGAGGAATTTAACAGACTATAAGAGAAATAGATGGTACCTTCACACCTCAAGAACTTGAAATAAAATGTATAAAAAGTGCAAACAAAAACTATATGATTTCTTTATGTTAGATTTAATTCGTCGGAAAATGTGAGATCGAAAAAATTTCAATCCTATATAAATAGAATGGAAGAGTATTTAGAAAAATGATGTAGTGTTTATGAAATGACTTTTAATGCATATGATTTTAGAAAAAAATTTTTAATTAAGAATTAAATTCTTCATACGAAATAGGTTTATCAGGCATTGTTTCTCCACTTTAAGTTTAACAGCGATGTTTGCTGAAACTGTTTTAAAAAGATTTAAAATAACGGAAAAAAGAGGAATATAGACATTGTTGAAATTTTTATCCAAAAATGCTAAGGAACATAAAGCTAAGGAAATAATTGAATAGAAAAAGGTATCCTGAAAAGTTTAAATTTAAGCCTGTTTAAGAATATATATAGGAAATGCAGTTGAATGGTTACAAATATGTACATAAATGACCAAGGTTCTCACCTTTAACGCCGAAGAATTTTCATCCTTTTACAAATGGTTTGTAATCATAAAACTTTCATTTTTGGATCATGTACTAAAAAAGGTGATTTTAAATTTAAATGTAAGAAATGTAATAAAAGTAGATCAGGTTTCTTAATTTATCTGGGCTCTTAATCAGAGATTTTTCTTAATTCTTATCCGGGCTCGTTCGATTTGAAATCTTATTGATTCGAATATAATTGTTCTTAGGAACTGGTCCATTTCTAATTTAATCATGGCAACCAATGAAGATATGTCTGGAGATGACACGAATAGTGTTGAGGTAATGATTACCCATTACAGAATATAACAGCAAGAAGTTAAAGCCTGGGTTGTTATTTCATTTGATAGTCGAATCCGTGGTTGTCATCTGTGACATCTTTACAGTACCGTAGTTCGCGAACGATATTCTACACCCCAATGGTTGCTTCTAATCTTGAGGCACTTACACATCAACGAGATAATGTCTGATTACATAATGACAATCACTTCCACTGATTTTCGTCGTGCTTTGCTAACATTTCCCTAGCCAGCTACATCTCCAGATCTCTGCTCAACAAAACATGCTTGGGGTCTGATGAGCAGGCTACAAAGATTGTCCGAGAATTTTGGCGAATTAACTCGACAACTGCAGGGATGTTGGTAGGAAATTCCACATGAATCCATTCGCCAACACTACAGAGGTGGGCTAACGTTTTATTGATGTATTCGTTATATGTGTCTTCTGAATGCAAAATTAAATTTCTATGAAATTTGAATCGCTTTTTTATGCGTATGCATCACATCTACTGAAGTTCGCAATATTCGGAAAATTCTATTTGTGCGTGTTTTCTTTTCTTAGAAAGCATTTATTCAGTTATTTTTCATCCTTATGAAATGTGGCTAATTACGAGCTAATGAAGTTCTCTGTAAAGGTTATCAACAACAAGCAGATACGTATTCCATTCCGCAATCTACTCATTTTACTTTGCTATTTAGTGTTGAAGTCACTTCAAAACATGCAGAAACTAACTTGTCCATATTACAGATTTCACAACATTAGAAATTTGGGAGCACACATTTTTGAAAAATGATTTTGACTTCTTCAAGACTTTACAAGGTCTACAGCAGAATAAGATACTGATCATTTGAAAGAGAGTAATAGGAATATTCATATTTTTACGATATGGAATAAAGATGCAATTGAGTAAGGAAAAGATTTAAAATTAATATTTTCTTCTGAAGTCTAGTTCAGGACCAGAAAGTGTTAAATGATTGCAGCATATTAACATATTGATATATCTGCTAGTCAGCTACATTAACTGAAAATAATCATTTTCATGAGCAGTTGATTACAGCTCATCCAAAATAGTGAAAAGATTACTTTAAGACAGCTGTTATACAAACCAAATATCCTCTCTATCTTTGAAGATGCTGAGATGAACATCCTATCAATTTTTATAAGTGATTTCATCGTTCAAAAGTGTATCAAGAACGAAAGGTGTTTATTATTTTTCACGAAAAATTATCACCAAGATTAAATGGAACTAAACGGTATATTTCCTATCTATATGCAGGAAATAAAGTGATAATAAGTTGTTTTTTTGCTGATATGAGAATAATTTTGTCTGAGAAACGGTTATGTTCCGAAGCTCAAGGATCAAGAGAACAGATATGCAGCTGAATCGGCAGTTTAATGAAAATGATCTAAATTTTATTTCCTTCAGTTCCTTTAATCCAGTTTAAACAAATGCATTCAAACATTAAAGGAAATGCTTTTCTAATATCTTTCAAAACATGTGAATCAGAGTTAGAAATTATTAATAAAAGCAAAATCTTATTTCCTTTTTTTTAAAAATTAGCGTTTAAATTATTGATTCAGAAAGCCTACCACATAGCTTTATTTCCTAGAATTCGATACCGTAGAAAACTTTAATGTCAAGCACTTCCAAAACCTCGAAAGTATAATGTATTAAATATTCTGCATTTCAGTATTTTTAAGCTGCAGCCTTACTGCAAAATTTTTAAAACAATAGCAAATATTCTCATAGCATAACATTTAACCTTAAGAAACGTACCATATTGAAAGTACACGAACTATAATATTTTCACTTTATAATGCATATAGTTCATAAATATTTTAGATTTTTATACGAATACTTAAATGTTCGCTAAAATTAAATTAAATCAATAATTGCCCTTTATGGTAAAATAAATAGTTTTTTTGTAAGCTAAAATAGCAATATTCATTGCAATTGATAATAAATGGGGACACTAAAGATTAAGAGATATTCTTTCATATTTATCATTAACTACAATTTATTACTAAAATACGTAATTCTTTACGCGAGTCGAATTCCAGTGCACATTTTAAATGCATGAAAGATACGATGGCAATTTACTAAAATTATTTCTTTGCGTCAGTAGCAGGAGCTGTTGTCCGTTAACAGATAAATATTAAAAGTTTTAGTCGAAGATACCCATACAGTTTGATATATTCAGTTTTCATACTTTGATAGTTCGCTATAAATATATATATGGAAAAATGTTTTACAGAAACTGGACCTAGGCTGCAGCTATTCTATCTGACACCCAGGCAATCCGTATAATTGAGCTCCCCTCTGTAAATTAAATGCATTGATAATTTAAAACGAAATAAACCTTTATTTTGTTGTCGTTTGTGGCAACAACTTTGTTGGCGCCTTCCGAAAATCGGCGTCCT